CCATTCTGACTTGACATGATGTTTCTGGGCAAGCAATAGCCTCCAGTTTACTTCAGTCCAGATACCTCTTTGGGAGACCTGCAACAAAGATGCACATAGAGAATACTGCCTGATAACTTGGACTTCTGTCCTTTTGTCCAAAAGATGAGATCACTGGTCAGACTCCAGCAGAGTAGGTTATGAATAGAATTTCTTTCTTAATCATTGTGGTCTTCAAAACTTATTTGCATTATGAAAACTTTTTTTCCTGATCCATTTGAGTGTAAAACCAATTATTAATAGTTCTTCACATTAAGTTGATCTCCACGTATAGTTGGTTTTGTTTGCCTTGATTACTTTGTTTTCCTTCTTTTTTCTTTTTTTGATGGCATTTTCTCGCTCATTTTTTTCCCATATGATTAAAGTTGATGGTCCAGAAGCTTGTTTAGTTCTATATTGTAGTTCTATATGTGGTCTTCATCTAGTTAGCTACTGTATTTTATTTTATTTTTTACTGTATTTGTACTGTATTTTCATATTGTCACAACAAAGTGAATGGGTATTCTTTTAGAAGTTTTCTTAAAAACTCCAGAAGTTGAAGCTTTAATGTGTTTAGCTTATTGTGGAAAAATGGATGCAACGTCATATTTTTAAAATCACAAAAAAAATAATTTAAAAGATAGTCTTATTTTTTATTTATTCAGAGGAAGAGCTAAAATGTAAATTGTAATTAACAAAGTTTTCAGTAGTTCTAAAGATTGCAGCGGGCTATGGTCTGCTTTTTTTTTTTTTTTTAATTTAAAAACTTGTTCTGGGGCTTTCATCATAATAGCTGAAATCTTATGTGAGGTTGAAGACTCATCTGCATAGCGTTTGCATGGAAATTGGTGTTGACAGTGAAGAGGCTGCAGAGTTGCCCTGTCCAATAGCAGGCAGCTTCAGTCATTGTCTGAGACTTCTGCAGGCTTTGCAGCATAGTTCATCTTTTCTTTAAGAATATTGTTTATATTAGACACAGACCAAATTTGAATTTTCTGGTTTCGGTTGTAGGTTCAAAATTAGTCTGATGTATTTGTGGTTCAAATTAGGTTTATAAGTGACTGCTATGTAATCAGAAGCCTTATTTTGCAATAATACTGTGGTTAGCTTGTTAATGAACATGAACTTATGTTGACGATGGTGTGGAGACCAGTGTATCAGAGCTGTAAAGCATAAGGACTTAGATTTGTAAAGATACTTAACTTTTCTCAGTATGCTGTGTTCATTTTGACTGTATTTCAGGACAGTTGAGGCTTCAAATGCATGTAAGAATTGCAGGACTGTATCATTCTAGAGCATCTTCTTAAAATCTTAGTAAATGTCTTAGAAGCTAGGAAATAGAGTTTAAATGTTGAAAAGTAAACTCAACTGCGTGGCAAAATACACAATGAAACAGTCTCTCAAATCAGATCAGAAAAGGGGAATTAGGAAAGGGGAGGGAGTGAGAAGTTTCTGCTTCTATTTGTAGAGAAAGCAGGGTAGAAATGCACACACCCCAATGAGTGATATCTGAGGATTTTTTGTAAAACAAACATTTCATCTGGAGGAGTTTTGAATAGTTGTATTAAATTTAAAGGCAAAACCTGAAAGTTCTTTATAGCATCATAAATTAATCCAGTTTTAAACTTCTGTAATCATACAAAAATGGATGTGTAAATATTTGAGGCTTTGTTTTATCAGCAGTATTTCTTGGATTTATTACTGTGAAATCAAGCTTCCAGTCTGGAAGCCATGGAGTGAAATAGGTTGGGTTAAATTAAGGTAATGAAAATTGTGATTATACAGAACTGCTCTGTGGTCTATATTTTTTAGCGTATTTGTTCTCATCACAAAGGAGTTTCCCTTTGTAGAGAAGAAAATAGCCATTCCAGCTCCTTAATGCAAACAAGAAATACTTATATTTCCACAGATATTTTTTACAGCTTTTTGGGGCAGAAATGTGTTTATATCCTTTACTTCACTATGACTAACTTAAATTACTTAATTTGTGAAGTGCAGTGTTGTTCTGGGCATTCATTGTACTCTGCATCCTCTATGATGTTCCATAACACAGAATTATAAGACGATGTACATGTAGATAGTCATGGTCATAGAGGTATAATCTTTCATAACATTTGAACTGCTGATTTTGTAATGTTAACCATCTCAAAAGATTGGAATGTTAGCATTGGACACCACCCTTTTTTCACATCACTTTCTCTGGGTGTTTAGTCTCGGTGATTGTATGAAAAATTATCTTTCACAGGTATATTTTAACACATACTTAAAATGCCTGCAGTAGTGCAGGTACAGAATAGTGTCTCTGTATTGTCTAAAAGAATTAACTGGTCTGTGTTATTTTAATATAATTCAGTTTGCATTTTTATAGCAGAGAAGCTCATTCAAACTGAAGTACTTTTCCAAGATGTCTGTAAATCAGTGGTTTTGTATGACATATTTGGAGTTCTTTTATTCAGAAAATGAGTAAATACCCAGAACTGGTCTGAAGGTTTGTCTTCATTGTTAGCTCGAGTTTGCCTTTGATACAGTTTATTTTGCGTTCAAAATTGCAGCATGGGTGAAAAGTACTTAAAGCTGTTTGGTATGGTGGTGTGGTTTGAGCTCAGGTATTGCTTATGTGAATTAATAATATAGTAGTGAGTTGCTTCTTTGCTTAAAATAACTCAGTTCAACTGTGAAGACAAACCTAACTACATTAAATATGTTTTGAAATTAGTGGTAGTTGCTTAGTATTTTTTTCTGTGTTTTTTTGTTTGTCTTTAAGTTAGGGTGTTTCGTTGAGTCTTTGTTTTGTTTCTTTTTGTAAGATTCTCAAAACTGTAGGGTAGGAGACTTGTGCATGCAAGTACTAACATGCCCCATTGTGCTTAATTCCGTTGCTTTTGTTTGCCAGTATGTCTCGTCCTTATGTGGACTATGACAGATCCAAATTCAGTTTAAACTTTACATGGTTTTATTTTGTATGGTGAGATTCTTCTTTGCTTCATGCGTCTTGACTTGCAGTTGTCTTAATGAGTTTACTTTGAGCACCATAATGTAAGATTTTGCATGTAATATTTCTATAACAAAGACTTACTAATGACTTCGTGTTTTAAGGCTAATACTTCATTAGCTGTCCTAGTCATATGTTACTGAAAACACTATAAACATTTTTAACTGCTTTTTTTTGTCTTCAGTCTTTGTAACACTTCTTTTTATGAAAGCTCCTTGTCAAATGACCAGGTCCCTTTACAGAAAAGTTGAAAGCCAGCCCCTTGTCCTGAGGAGCTTGTATCACTAGACAAGGCCGCCTCTTTTCTGGAAGTTTGTTTGAAACATGAAAATATGTCAGTGTGTCCTGGCTATTGCATCTGTACAAGCTGGCAAATTTGGATTTTTCAGTGTTTCTTTTTCTTGTTTAGATTTCTCAGCTACTTGACTAAAAAAGGTTTTGTTGGAGTATTTGTGGCCTGTTATGAACTATTTCTGCTGTAACTGTGTGGAAGCAGAAATCCCCTTTCTTTTCACTGAGATTTCTCATGTCATTTGATTTGTGTATTGATACTTCAGTCATTTTTTATTTTTCTTTTTTTAGGATTCTTCTCCAAATTAGTCTCAAAAGTTGCACTTAAGGTTATCAGAAGACAAAAGCTTTCAGAAATTTTGTAGCATTTTATGTTTACATAGTAAAACAGTACAAGACCTTTTCATTTTTCTTCTTTACTAAAAGTCTGCCTCTTCTTACTTGACTGTCTCTCCAAAGAAAAAAAAAACCAAACACACCTTTAGAGTCAAAGAGTTTCCCAGCCAGTTATTTTAGCTTTCAATTGGATTTTTGCCTGAAATGGGGAGTATCCAGGTTGATATTCTCTGCCCAGTTTGAGGTGAGTTTAAAATCCAGGTCTTCAGTATTATGGGCAGGCATCCTGGGTGAGATCTTGGATCCATGTCCATCCTTTCACTCTTCATGCAGACTGTTTGGTGCTACAGAGACATTAGTCTTGACTGAATTTGAGGGCAGAGGTCTCTGATGGGTTTAATGGGGATGAGAGAAAGGGAACCGGTGGTACGCCTATAGAAGTGGAAATACTTTCAGTGCAGGAATTCTCACAGTACTGGAATGGAGGAGAAACTTTATTGTTATCTGGAAGTCAAATTTAAAATTAATTGAATAATTCATGTTAATTAGAACAAATTACCATACAGTATAATTGAATGCAAGTACTAAGCATTTCTGTGGATACTGTGTTGATATTTGCTAAAATGAGATTAATAAAATAAAGGATATAAATCTTGATGCTTCAGGAGATGTTGAGAAGTTTGAAAGTAATTATGGACACTTTTTTTTTCTTTTTTTAAAGATGTTTTTTCACTTTACTGTGAGGGTGTTAACAGATCTGGTTTTACATTTCTAGTACAGCTCATTATCCTGTCTGAATCCCAAACAATGTAGCTGGATTGTGTATGATAGACTTGGTCTTTATTGTAGCTTCTTGTAGTCTGGTCTCTGAACAAATGAAGCATGGCTTATACCCTCACCTCAAACTTGACCTATTTTTAGCCTATCTGTAAATAAATATGTCTGACTATAAGGTTTTTGTTCATAGTATATTTTCCAAAGAAAGATTGGAATCATGAGTGAAAACATGGAATATGAGTATATGCACAGTAAAAGAAAAAAAATCACTAAGGAATTTTTGGCTCATGTTTGTTCCTAAAAATTAGGGGGGGAAAAAATCCCGTTTGTGATACTGACAGCTTTCAGTCCAATATATTGAAGTGGAAAAATGTTGTGTGTGTGTGCTCCTAATAAATATTAGGTTCAATAGTGTAAATTACACTAGATATCAAATATCTTCAATTTTTATTATATTCATGTGTTTGTTTTTCTTACAAGGATAGTTAAGCATTTGATCTGCTGAATTGAATATTAATATTACACTAGTGAGAAGTTGTCAGGTTATATTGGGGAAAATGAAAATTTCTGTCTGTCTTTTGTTCAGAGTCTACATCTGTGGACAAGTCTGTATCTCATTCTTGCACAACTCCTTCTACATCTTCTGCTTCTGGACTGAATCCAACTTCTGCACCTGCTTCATCTGCTCCTACAGTTCCTGTCTCACCTGTCCCACAATCACCAATTCCTCCGTTACTTCAGGACCCAAATCTCCTTCGACAGTTGCTGCCTGCTCTGCAAGCCACCTTGCAGCTTAATAATTCTAGCGTAGATATATCCAAAATCAATGAAGGTAAGGATTCTTTAAAGTTGATGTAATCTCTTATTTACACACATTAGTATGTTATTGGATACTAAGCTGTAGTAGATACAAGATTTACTTTAAATGAAAAGTGAATAAATGAATCCCTAGGTAAAGTGGGAATTGTTTTTGTTAAGGTTTTTTTTCCTGTTAAACCTTTTTAAATTAGCCAAGTAACACTTAAGGTCGTTAAGCTAATAAATGCTGATGTATGTGAGCAATCTAATTGAGACTGGTGACTTAATCGCTGTATCAGCATTCATTTGTTGCACAAAATTTAGTTAGAGCTTTTTGTTCCTTTGTGTCATGCAGTGTTCTTTGTTTTCTGTATTTTGTGCTGCTGTTCTAATAATACGTGTTTGCAAATACTGAAACTTCTAGGGTTTCTCAAATCTTGTTACCTATCAACTTTTTTTCTTTAACAGAACATGTTAGCCTCTCTGAATAAAGACAGCATATCAGTAATTTTGCTAGCAAGTTAAATTCTGTGCATGTAATTGGTGTATCCCTTAGATTTTTGTTTGGCATTGGCCTAGTTTAGAATTAGCTATAGTGCCTTCTGCTGCAAGAACAGGTAGAGATGATGCATTTTGAATGTAATTTATCTAATGTGGTGTCTGCATGTGGCAGATGAAGAAAGTGGTGTGGGATTTTTTTGTTTGCTTCTTTGAACTTCTTATGCACTGATCACCAATTTAAATGGGAAGCAAAACATTGACATGTAGTGCCCAGAGTTAATTAACTTTTAAAAAGTGTGAACCGTGAAAGTCAAAAGAGTAGAGTTTTGCTTAAAATTTTACTATTATATACATGATGATTATTTATAAGGAAAAGCTGCCAATTGATTTCCTTTTAATCAGCAAATATTACAGCTTCATTCAGTACTAGTAGGTGAGTAGGTTATTTTTCCTTCCTCTGCAGGGAGAAGCTTTTGAAACTGTAGTGCACTGAGTTGGACTAAAAAAGTAGGACTATTGTGGTTGGTTGTGTTGAAGAACGAAAGGTCCAATCAAGACTCCAATTTGTATTTTATTAGAAAGCTGCCCATTTGAGTTCCTAGTAATTGTCTCTTGCTGTATCTGAGCAGCAGCTGTGTCTGTCTTGGGACAAGGGTGTTCAGTATTGTTCTGGTGGCATGGGGACCTGGCTGGCGGGTCCGTGTGGGCTGAGTGACTTCACCTTGTGCAGCAGGACTGCCCTTGCTGTGCATGTGATGCAGACTTATTCTGTGGTGGTGAGTCAGTGTTTTCAGACTTGTGCATGGGTAGTGTACGTTCTCAGGAGGTATCCCACAGAGCCTGGAGACCTTTTTGAAAAGATTAGTTCAGAAGCTGGTTCTCATCGGCTCATACTGTAAGATGCTCTTCCTATGGAGTGCAGTTTTACAACAATTTGTTTGAAAATGATTAATTTTTTACTGAAATGGGGAGGGGCAATGGGATAGCTAAACCCAGAACAAATAGGTTTGGGTTTTGGGCTTTTGTAGTTGTTCGTTTTGGGTTTTTGGGTTTGGTCTTGGTTGGCGTTGGTTGTTTTCTTTGGGGTTTTTTTTAAAAGAAGAAACACTGAGTGTCTGGATTTTTAACTTGAAAGATACTTTCTTTTTCCTTGAACAGGAAGTCTTCCCTCCCCATGTCTTTTAGTGAGTTAAAGTGATACTGCTTTTTTGCCTTTTTTTTTTTTTTTAAAATTATTGTAGTTTTAGAAAACCCACACACATTCTGCTTACTACAATAACGAATTGAATAAACGTTCTCTTCATGTCTACAATAACTGTTGTTGATCCATAAGTCAAGCTGAAGAGCTAAAGTTATTTTCTAAAAGAACTTTTTTAGTGTATGTCTCGGAGATAAAACTGCTAAGTAAAGGACTTGGTTAGACAGGCCAAGCATTCATGAATTGAATTCAAGTAATTGGAAAATAGTTCAGGTGGTTCTTCGGTCTGTTGTGGATAATGGAACACAATCAAAGAAAATGTTGCTTAATGTATTTAGCCACTTGAACAGTTTAAAGTGATGTTCTAGAATTGTCAGTAAACCAGAATGTTTGTTTTTAGTTCTAACAGCAGCTGTGACACAAGCCTCTCTGCAGTCTATACTCCATAAAATTCTTACTGCTGGACCATCTGCTTTCAATATCACTTCCCTAATTTCTCAAGCTGCACAACTGTCTACGCAAGGTATTCAGAATCTTCTTTTCACTTATGTAAAATTGTTACGTTGCATTTTATAATGGCTGATAACAATTGAAACTTGTAGAAGCTCTCTCTCATCCTATCTTTGACAGTCTAGTGTGGAGGATGTTGAATGACTTCCCAAAGATAGGGTAAGAAATTGTTACTTGGGGAGCAGGAAGCTGACATGCAGCTAAGTAAATGTACTTCTCTCTCTCGCCTTTGGGTTTTTCTTTGTACGTTAGCTAACTCTATATGAGTGATGGGAAACGTGTAAGACTCTCTCAACTTATTCTGAACCTTAATTAGACATTATTTAATTTTCAATATAAAACACAACTCTCTTGTTTGAAGACCCTTCTTGTAATACCATGTGACTGTGACTCTTGGGGAAGGCCTTAAATTTTTAAAAGAAAGTTTATTCAGGTGGGTTTGGTTTTTTTTGTAGTCTTCTGCAAATAGTATTTTTCAGCTTCCAGGCAAGGTACTTCAGGTATCTTCAATACATTCTGGTTGGTAATTTAATAAAGCTAGAAGCTTAAACCAAAACAATAAATGCAGTTATGCTATTGAGTAGATAAGCAGTATTATGCTAATTTTTAACTAGTAATTAAAACATGGGTGGGGACTGTTGTAGATGCCTAGAATGGGTGAATAGATCTCTAGATAAACTGTTGATGCATCCTTTCAGTTAAATCAAGCTGAGCACTCTAAAATAGGAATCGCAAATTAAACTGCTTTAGTCTCTTCCTATGTAAAAAGCATTGCATAGTAGCATCTTGTCTTTCGCCCTCCCCTGAAGTTTTAGACATGGAGGGTTTGGGGAAAATAGTTAGGATTGTGGTTGGACATTTTGATTGTTCCAGTTGTTCGCTTCCTCAACTGTCAAGGTATGTTTGTATATTGTCTACTATAGCATACTCCAAGATACCAAAAGAAAATCTAATTCACTTTTAAGATAAGATATGGTTTTATTAAAAACAATCTTTCTTTTTTTTCTTTACAGCTCAGCCATCTAATCAGTCTCCAATGTCTTTAACATCTGATGCCTCATCACCAAGATCATATGTATCTCCAAGGATAAGTACACCTCAGACTAACACTGTTCCACTTAAACCTTTGATGACTACGCCACCAGTATCATCGCAGCAGAAGGTAAGCTCCTTTTGATTTATACCGTATTGTAGTAAGAAACCATTATAGATAATGTTAAGTATTGCTGCTATATATATATCCATGTGCTAGCAGTTATATATATAGGATGATAAAATATGTATGTTATCTTTCCCAATAGAAACAAACAACTGGAAGGAACTACTTGGCTGTATTTTTGCAGTACACCTCTAGCATGGAATTCTAGTACACTTTTCTGTTCTGGAAGAAAATCTTATGCTCGCTTCAGATGCTGTTTGGAGATACTACCAAGAGATCAGTAATGGAAACAAAAACTTAACTCCAAAGGCGACAGCTGATGGAGTTCTCTAGTCTTTAGCCAATAAAAGATTTTTAGAATGGGAGAGAAATTCTTGGGAAAGTTGACTTGATGTAGTCTCAAAATCTGGTTTAGAAACATTCTAGGTGTTTACGATGTCAATAACATCATGTCGCTTTCCCTTCCTGCCCCCTCACTCCCATTCATTCAGAAGTCCTTAATTGGACGAGTGACTAGGAAACACGAATTGAAGCTAACAAATAAGCTCCTAAGGTTCTTCCTAAGGAGGAAGTAGAAAACATAAAGTCGTCTTTTTTACTTTTTTTTTGGTGTATGTGATCCCTCTAGTGGGTCACTCTTCAGAGGTAAAAAGTCTTTTGCAAAATCTGAGCTCAGTATTCCATATTGTACAAGTGGTGATATTAAGGAATAAATATGGTTGAGGCTGAGATTAGGGGTTTATTTATTTATTTATTTATTTTCTCTGTCCAGCAGACCAGAGACTCTGTTTTGCTGTGTACAGGTGAGGGAAGTAGATGCAATTAGAGGCACTCAAGATGAACTTGCCCTTAAGAGTTTTCCTTTTTCCTTGTTTAAAGACTTGTGATTCATATTGTAGAGCAAGGGTGGGAAGAGATACTGGGTTAAAGGACCTATTATGAAGAAGGATTTTGTTGCTAAAGGGAACTGAAGGCCAGAGCTGTTGATTTGCACCTTCTGGAGGAATGTAAACTTTTACATTCAACATCGTTTTGTAGTGATAGGTGAAGCTGCAGGGCATAACACTTTAGTGCCTTTTAGGCAGGTTTAAAAGACCATTTTCTTCGTAAATTCCCTGTTCTCTACTCCACCCCCACCCTGCTTAGCTAAGGCATCTTTCTTTCAGGTTTCTGCTCAGAAGAGAACCTCTTGGGTCTTGAAGGTCTTTAAGGAATACTTTTTATCTTCAGGAGGACAGATTGCGTTCCTCAGTTCTGGTCTAAATGCCTCATTTTCTTCCATTTGAATTTTTTCATGGGTACAGAGAAAACCAAGTGACTCTCCCAGTTTGTTGTGATTGACAATGATACAATGAATTGTGAAAGTCTAGGATGTGTACTAATCCTGCTTGTTGTCTTTGTTTCTGCCTTTGGAGTGCATCCTGAATCTATGTGGTCGCATCCCATAGCTAGGTGACAGGTAGTGAAGTTATGAAACAGCAGACTTGAAACAAAGAAGGGAGATATCTGGCACTTTAAAATCCTGGGATATGAAAAAGAATCTTCTTAAGTTGTTTACTGTCAGGAACTGGAACTTGATCTGTTCTGGTCTCTACAACCCAGAGATCTGGATCTGCTTTATAAATAAAGTTCTGATTATCAGCTATGTTATAAACATGGCAAAAACTTTATCCTTTGGGATCCTATTTATCTACAGTGTTTTCTGAAAGAAAACTTGAAGGAAGGACAGCTCATCAGATTTTTTTGCCCCCCCCCCCGATTTGTCCTTGTCTTACAAACTTAGCTTCTTTAGTATTTATCATCCTGCTACAGGTGTTTCCTTAGAACTGCGCAGACAAACTTGAACCGACTGTCTTTCACCCAGTATAAAGGCTAGCATTATACCTATGAAGTAGGTGGTGTGGTAGTAAACTATGCCTTAAGAGAAAGTGAAGGCAAGCCAGGTGTTGTAAAGTAGGGCCAGTCTGTCTTGGTAGACCAGCTGTATAATTGGATATGCTTTTGGACATAGAAGCTTCCCCTCGAGTTTTCAGCAGAAGCAAAAAACTTCAAGGCTAAATGCAGGTTTGAGAAGAGTTGATCTGAATTTAGTGCAAGTTGTAACTACAGCAAGGCTGCTGCCTCTCCTCAAAAAAAAACCAACAAAAAAAGCTTTGGTTGTTTTATGCTTTGTCTGATATGAGAATCTCCACTTAGATGCAGGGCTCAGTGACTGCCTGTAGTTAGTGACTTGGCATGCAGGATTTCACATCTGGTGTTTTCAAAGTAGGGCGTTATGTGTTTTATTGATAGATATATAGAAGTTCTTCTGAAAGTGATGATATCTATATTTTGAAATGACTGTATTTTAATCCATCTTTCCTTAGGATTGCACCACAATGAGGTGAGATTGCACATCTGGTTTATTTTTGAAGCACATATAAAGTGGTTGCAATCAAAGTGTTACGTGTAGTGAATTTCTGAGTTACTCTTGCTAATCTGTAATGTTTTTGCTTCAGAACACTATTAAACCTGATGGACTGTTGTGCATTATTATATACATTGGCAAGTTTTTATTCTCATCCCTCTTACTACACTGGGCCATCATAACCTTAAAAGCTTTCTATTTTCTAAGTACCTCGAGTAACTTCACAGATCAGCTAAACAGAATTAGTAGTAATGCTTGACAGCAGGATCTTTTCTTGGTTTTTTGTGTTCCTCAAATCTGGTGATAACAACAGAGCTGTTGAAATATTAACATGAGTTGTTTCTGTGTTAGTCCCAGAAGTAACGAATAATATA